CTTCACCTTTTTGCACATGTTGGTTGGTTTATGGGTGCATAGACAACAAAATTTCTCTTTTTTGCAAAAACATGAAAAGTATTAGAAGTCCATTTCCGTAGGATAGATTTTTACTATTAAGTTAAAAAATTGAAAGAGATGGTTAATTTGAGCAGTTTGTGCAAGTTTTAAATTTAGCTTTTTGTAATCAATAACAAAGGAAATAGCAGCAATCAAGTACTGCTAAATTGTTGGGTGGCAAAACGTTCACGAGCTCATAAATTCTTTGTCAATTTTGGGCTTTTCTCGGGACCTATGCGGTACACCGGGCTCAATTTTCAGACCTAACTGAAGCTGGTATGCTCTTTAGTAATAGAAAATATTATTCTATTAGCTTCATCAGATAACGATAAGCATATGTTAATAGGAAAAAAAAAAGAATGTGAAAAAGGATTCACCTACAACCTGGGAAATGACTATTTGCCAAGTTAAAACGGGACTGGGTGTAAATCAGTTTTCAAAGGCCAAAATAAGGTACAGGAAAAATTTGTTANGATAAGCTTTGGAAACGCGGCTTCATCTCATAGTGGTTTGACTCCATTAAAAACTGCATACAAAAAAAGAGGGGAATTGCTCTGGGCGATCGCGAGTAAGAAGAATTTTATTAACTTGCGTTCAGACTGCTTTTGATACAGTTTTTGGACGTAATTTGGCCCATGCCTAAAATTTTCGCATTTTTCCAAAAACCGCTCGATAAATTTTTTTATAAATTCCACAATCCCGAGATCAATCGTCAAGAAATATTCCCTGCAAGTTTCAAGAACATTGAAAACAGGGAAGGCTTTTTAATAGGGCCTCAAATATAGCCAATTTCCCCCCCCAGATTTTGTGTTTACAAGTAAGCGTCCTCATTATTCACTGGCATTGTTTTCAAGTTTCATATACACGTGCACATTTAGCAAAAAGATAGAATTTGCATCAAAAAGGACCCTCGGTTAAATCTCCGGGATATGCTAATTACCGCGTAAAGAGATTAGTGATACATTATAACATCAGAGCAACTCTTTGTGAGAGTTTCTGTGATGTTATAACCCGTGTAAGATAATTAAGTATTGCATCCTACACGATGAGCCGTGACGTTCACCGTTTCGGCTCTCACTGCTATCTGTGATGACAAGCCAGTTATTAGCATATTCTGGATATTTCTTCGGAAAGTAATCGAGAGTTCTTGTTGATGCAAATTGATATCTTTTGCTAGTTGTGCACGTGCATATGAAACTTGAAAACAATGCCAGTGAATAATGAGGACGCTCACTTGTCAACACAAAATCTGGGGAGAAAATTGGTTATGTTTGAGGCCCTATTTAAAAGCCTTCCCTGTTTTCAATGTTCTTGAAACTTGCAGGGAACATTTCTTAACAACTGATCTCGGGATTGTCGAATTTATAAAAAAATTTATCGAGCGGTTTTTGGAAAAATGCGAAATTCTTAGGCATGGGCTAAATTACGTCCAAAAACTGTATCAAAAGCAGCTGAATGCAAGTTAATAAAATTCTTCTTACTGGCGATCGCCCAGAGCAATTCCCCTCTTTTTTTGTATGCAGTTTTCAATGGAATCAAGCCACTATGAGATGAAGCCGCGATTCCAAAGCTTATCATTTTCTTGAAATATTAGCGAATTGTGCGGCTAACCTGCTATTTCACTGCTTTGATGATTCTTAAAACTGCATTTCAGGATATTTCGAAAACGCTCTCATAGAATTTCTTCAAACTTTGCCATAATGGAGGCAATTATGGAAGGTACATACTCCCTTAAGCGATTTCTTCGAAAAACTCCTGGTACAGAGAAACACAACGATAAATGAAAAACGTAATGGCGTCATTACGTTGCCATGGCGACTCCGATTGCAATAAAACCCAGATCATAAGAAATTTTCATCTTTATATAATAAAGTTGTGGTAACCTTTTTTCCATATCTTTACTCATGCCGACGTAGCTAATGCTCAAACTTGGAAGGTATCAATCCCAAAAAATCCAGTCGAGCCACCTTAAACATGACAACGAAATTTCATTCTTTGACATCCTGTAAAACCTCTATCGTTTTTATTTTAAAAAAAATTAATTTCCAGCTTAATTTCCGTGTAGTTTTCTTACTGCAAAAAGGTTTTTCCTCCCCCTGATGGCCTGGGGAATAGCCTCTGTCAAATTTTACTTAAAAGGACTTTGTTTTGTTTTTCATACAACAGTCAGATCACCCTGGTATGCAATTTTGGTGCAGAAGGTTCTCTCAAAGCAAGCAAGATCATGGAACTTATCTGGCCTCACAAAACAGAGTTGGCCAATATCCAGCGATCGAGCACTAAGTAATGACTTGAGAATAGAAGTGACTTAAAACACCAGTATCCTCGTGACATACACAGCGTGCAAAGAAAGTAGTGTCCAATAGACCAGGGCTAGTGGATTTTGCTATCGGGCTAGTGAATTCTGTTCTTAACTTGCCCGACGGGCAAGTGATGTTTTTTGAGAAATTCGAATAACAGAAGAACTGTGAAATAAATTCTGCTCATCAAAAAGCTTGACGTCTGGGCTAGTAAATGCTAGCTTCAGCTTGCCCGGATGGCAAGCTGTAAAAATGATTTTCTTTGCACCCTGCATACATGTAGCCCCTTAATTAAAACAATTTGAAAAACTGTCAAGGTCTTGAAATAATGATTATTACCTTCATCAATTTGTGATAATGAAACAGAGTTTATGTTCAAGTTTATAGGATTCATTTAAAAGTATCTGTTGATTTTGTGAGAGGTTGTAAAAAAAGGTATACATGAAACACATAAACAATTTTAGCAGACTTGAAATATGTAAAACTGAAGCCATACTTTTTTTGGTGTATTTTTGCATTTGAATCTTTGCACTGGTCATAGAGAATTGTAAGTAGTTTAGAACACCATGTCAGAAGAGTAAGAATATTTCCTGACACAATATAATAGTTTTATTGTTATCCTGAATGGTTTAAGGCTAAGATTCATTTGAAATAAGAAAGTGGAAAATGATCAAACAGGAACTGATGTTTTGACAATGACCATGAAATTGATGATCACCTTGTTGATAAAACGTCGGTCGCTGTCAACAACAGTCCTACTCAGGACATTCACCAGACAAATCATATTCCACTTTGCTGAAATATTATAGGCTACAAAACTATCACTAGCCATAAGCTGCACTGCTGCACTTGAATTCAAGATTACATTAGTGTCTGTTAAATTTTTTAGTGTGTTGAAAAAAGGCTAGGTTTTCAATTTGTGAAGTATACAATTAATTTACCTAAAAAAACAGTACTTGTATTATGTCAAAGTTTAGCCATTCATTTTTTGTTGATTTAATTTTTGCATTTGAATCTTTGCACTTATTTTACACCCTCTAAGCACGCTACAATTATGTTCACTTTACAACTTCTGCGTATGAGATAGGACAATAAATAAGCATTGTTTGATACGAGCCTATGTGCAGGAAATGGAATAAATGCAACACAGATGGATTTCAGTTTTATGGTGGTATATATTTGTCTGACTTATATAATGAACAAGTCTTCATTGCATGTAAGTTAACCAGGAAAAATACTCAAAGATTAATTTCATGTAAGAATAAAGAAAAATTCCCATTGGAAAACCTGGTTTCGGCAAATATGAAACTTTTTGGTCGTGTTTACGCAGTAACGAAAACAGACGGAAACACAGAAAAACAAGTCAGGTTGCCGGACCGTATCTTCACGTTTCCGCCAGTAGAACGAACGAAATAACAGGTTTCCGGTACGGAATATCGCGTTTCCGCAACATAAACACAGGTTAACGATTGCGGAAATACGTGATTCCTGAAACGGAAATCTGTCGGAAACATGTAAAAAAGGAGCCTGCGTAGCTGGCGGTATTGTGTGGGTGCGAGATTAAAGTTTTGGCGGCGGAGCCGTGTTCCAAAAAAAGGGAGTGGGCACGAGGCGGTTGAAATACCGCCTGCCAGAAAACCCCAGTATTTTGAATAGTCCGCACACCAGGTGTGCGGAGAAACGGATTGGTCGAGGGCCATACATATGTCAATCACGTTAGATGATCCTTCGCATGTATTTCCCACTTATAAAGGGAGCAGATGGTAAACTGGAAAAGACGTAAGTGATTGTGGTTTCCCCTTTAAAAAGAGCATAATTGATGACCAAATTGCCGAAATGGCGTTTTTAAACTTCACAGAGCTGGAATTGTCTTTATTTAGCCGTAAGAAACAAAGGTCAAAGAATATTAAAACACTTTACAACTGCATCTGAGATCAAATCCTATCAGGAACACATACAGAAGAATAAACCACAGGAAATGGTTACTCAGTATGCATGTAACAAACCAGCTTCATGACCTTTTAATGTTAAACCTAGTGTGGCAAAAAAAGATTTACTTAGTCAAAGTTTAGAATGATACATGCACTGTGTAGTGCTAGTAACCTTCGCGCGAGAGCCGAGAAAATAGAAAAACCTCTGTTCAAGCAAGCTCACAAGGTCACGTTTCACATTATCTCGAGCTTAGGAGTCGTGTTTAGCCTGTCAACGCTTATTTCTAAACTGTCTTGAGCCAAAATAATCGGAAAATAATCGGAAGTTTCAATTGCTGCTTTTATCTTTGATTGGCTGATTTAATTGGGATCAGCTAAGGTGACAAAAATGGGCGGCATTCGAAAAATCATGGTTCTCTGGCAGGCGGCATTTCTCGCGGCTTCGCCGCTCGTAACGGCTCCGCCGTCAAATCTCACTCGACTATATTACAACGGCTCCGCCGCCAAATCTCACTCGACTACTACAAAATACCGCCAGCTACGCGGGCTAGTAAAAAAATGTTCCGGTTCCGTTGAAAACGCAGCGACGGAAACATGAGAAACCGTAATGTATCCGCTAACGGAAACACGCGTTTGTCGCTGTGTTTCCGCAACGGAGTCACGTGTTTCCACCATGTTTAAGTTTACGGATACTTGATTTTTCGTCCCGTTACATTCCTTGACCAACTTCCTTACCAAACCACATTTCATCTCCCAAGTCCCACGTTGGGTTATCTTTGCAGGGCTTGGGTTCATGTCGCCACATACCACGAAATGCACGGTGATCAAACTTTGTGGTTTTACAAAATTTTGCAAAATCAGGAATGGCTGAATGATCTTTAGCGTTGTCATTAGCTCTTAGCCCCAGATAATACATGGTCTCACCGTATGCCCCATGCGCGCCTAAATAGGAGTCACAAACATTCGAGATGTTACTAAATCGAGGAACATGGGACGCTGGAGGATGATGATGTAACCTGGTATCGTGGAAGTATGTTTTGTTTAGAATACTGTTCAGCCACAACATGACTTGTTGGTCCGCTTGTGGATGACACAACATCGAGCTTTCGTTCTGTGCCAAGAACTTCTGGATAATATCTTCGGAGAATATCATAAATGCTTCATCCACCCATGTGATTCCTATTTGACAGTGGAAAGATCCCCAGACTAGATTTTGTTTTGGTCTCAATGGAAGCTCAAAAAGAAGCCTTTTTGGGCACAAGAAGTAGTCATCATCCATTCTAAGTAGGTACTGAAAGTTAAATTTTGCCGCTGCCCATTTGATTTGGTTAAGGAAACGGAATCCAAACTGCCCACGGCCTCCTTTAAGAGGCTGGAGCTTAATATCCTTGTATTTATCCTTTTCGTTTAAAATAAGGTTACGTTGAATTCTGTCTGTTATAAGTCCATCAGTCATGAAGACACATTCAACCTGAAGAAAGAAAAATTCAAGTTACACTCACGAGGTCAGAACTGCCCTAATGTCCCGGGTGTCGTGTGAGCCATCTTCAGGGCCTTTCTCGTGTAAATCTGGGATTGGACCCTCCCAGAGTCCAAGAGAAAAGCCCTGGAACCCCAGCCTAGTCCCTAGGCGTTCTGTCTTTCCCGTTGTCCGCGTGAGGTCTGGGAAAAAGCGGGCGAGTCTCTGTCGATGACGTCACAGCTCACGGTATAGTCCAGGGCCCACTTGTTCGAAAGCCGATTAATCCTAACTCAGTATTAAGGTTTATTCTGGGTTTCTTCTTCTTTTGTTCAAAAGCATTTTCCCGGATAATTTTCACTATTCGTTATAGAGCATCAATTCATTACATTACAGGCAAAAAGAATTAAACTGAATTTGATTTCTGAATTTGATATCTGAATTTATACTTCGCACTAACCCTGGGTTATCTTAACCCCTGCTTTGAACAACCCGGCCCAGGATTGACCGAGCCGAGACTCCAAGGGACTATGCTCCTGGGGCCCGTTTCTCGAAAGTCCCGGTAACTTTACGGGCCCGAAATCAAATATTCAGATTACATCCTGATAGTTTTATCATATTATTTGTTAACCTACTGAAACCTCGAGCTTTAATGTAAACGACAACAGCTTTTCGGGCCCGTTAATAGACCTCTTTCGCTTGTGTGTTTTGTTTTCCCAATAGAGGTCTCAGGGGAACGTGAACCCTTGTCTTTTCATAAATTATGCGTAGATATGCACAAGAATAAGACGAAATTTGAAAGAAACAGTTCTCTAGAGTACATGTATTACTAGTAAAAGTTGACACTACAGCTGCCCCTGCTCTGTATGTTGTCAGTCAATAGTATTCTCTCGGTTGTGTAGCTCTCTTTTCACACATTCCATACATTGGTGAGGTAAAAATGATGAAATGACGAAACTGAACGTTTTCTGGAAAAGCACTGAGATTCACGAAATTAAATTCTGTTTTCTCTATTTATAACCAAGACACCTTCGCCAATGATTCATAGAGTACTAAAGTGTGACGTCACAAAAATGAAATTTCCGAAACTATGGGATTTGTCAGGATATTCTGAAAGAACAATGTCCAAGAGGCCTACTTGCCAAAAATGAGCATTTGGGCGCAAATTGTCGCTGAGATCGTAGCCCAGTTATGCTTACAAAACTCCATACAAACCCTTCTAAATTTTTTTTGGGTCGACCCAAAAAAAAATTGGAAGGGTTTGTATCGAGTTTTCTGAGTATAACTGGGCTACGATCTCGGAGACAATTTGCCCCGAAATGTTCATTTTTGGCAAGTAGGCCTCTTGGACATTCTTTCAGAATATCTTGACAAATCTCATAATTTGAGAAATTTCATTTTTAGGACGTCATCACTTTAGTACTCTATTGAGGAACTTTTTAGTCGAGCTTGCTTTAGCACGGCTAGACTCTAAAAATGCAGGCGTTTCTTTTTTTTTTCTTTGTGTGTGGGCACCAATTAGGACGCCATGCTCTCAAACGTTCCAAGCAGAGACCGTGGAAACTGGGGATAAGAATGGTGACGACTTTCATTGTATGCAAATGAGTCTCGTGATGAGCATGCGGTTTATTTTTGGTGATGACTGAAATGACGCATGTAAGTTGATTACGTTTTCGCTGTTTGGCAGTGATGTAATTTTCCCCGAATCGAGGCCCTTAATTTTCGTGTTATTATACACGGGTATGATAAAGTAAATACCCCGAGTATGATGAGAAAATATTATAGCGAGAAATCCTATTTGTGGTGTATTGAGGCGTTACGTTTCTCGGAATATTGTCGCAGTTACTGGGACTCCACGGTTAAATAGATTCACTTTGTTGTATGCTGTGTATGTATTTAATTCATAGATTTTCGCAGCTGTTAAGATGTGAAGTCGCGTTGCACTTTATAAACACTTGAGATATCAATGATTTAACCTTCGACTACTACTGGAAGCAACTTTAACTACCCGTCTGCGTTACGTATGTGTTTAGACGGGTAGCTTTGTACTTGACTATCACGCACTCTACTTGCCGCACTTCATGTCCACAGAATAAAAATCCCACATCGAGCTTTTCCGGAACAAAAAAGAAACGAATTGTAGCCCTTATTTTACTGCCTTACAATATATCAATAATCCTGAAAGTAAAAGGTCATATTAAAGGAACATTAATCTCAAGAATCTTAAATTTTTTTAAAAAAAATCTATCGAGCGGTTTAAAAATTATTCGCTAATTTGTTAAAGAAGACCGAAATGATTAGATATTACTGAAAGAAACGTCATCGTGAGATCGTGAGATAACTGGCGACAAAGAACCTATGTTGCCTGCCTACCTGAGTCTGATTGCCAAAACAATGTTTCCACCACGTTTCTCTTATTGCCTGTCTTCTTTCAAATCTTGCTGGTGCAGTGGAAACGATGATCAATAGCAATACTGCTCTCTTATTCCTTCTCAAGTCTTTAAAATCAATCAGTTGATGGAAAGTTTCGTTTATATCTGAGTCGTCTGTGTCATTGATTTCTGTTTGATTTTTTACTGGGGCCATAAGGACTATAGGGGTAGTATTTGCCCAGGTAGGCGCATTTTGTAGCTCTGACGGGCGTTCCAGATTATGGAAAGTGATAGTGAAATAGACAAAAACCATCCATGCGCAAGCTGAAGCGAAGATAAGGGCAACAATTATGACTCGTCTCTTGTTATAAATCATTGCCAGTCATTGGGTTGTTGAGACCAGAAAGACGAGTAATCTTGTAGAGCTCAGTCGCATTAACACTGAATGGAACAAAAAACCTCTGAAAAACAAAGCAATATCGCGCCACATATTTACCTATCCGATTAGTGTAACCAAGGAAATTTGCAGGAAAATGAAATCACTTGCGCACAGAAGAAAATTTAGGGTAAATATGTCTGATATGTTTTAGCTCGAGTAAGCAAGTGTTATTGTAATGCCATGGTGTTCTAAACTCCTAAGTGCGGTTTTTAAAGCAACAGAAACATTAGGTGGGGCGTCCGTGATTCTGTGAATTAGACACCACGGTATTATGAAATCACTTGTGCACAGAAGAAAATTAATAGTTAATATGCCTGATATGTTTTAGCTCGAGTAAGCGAGTGTTATTGTAATGCCATGGTGATGTAAACTCCTAAGTGCAATTTTTAATTTAACAGAAACACTAGGTGGCACGCCCCTGATTCTGTGAGTCAGACACCACAGCATTATGAAATCGCTTGCGCACCAAGTGGAAATTTAAAGGTTAATATGTCTTAGCTTGAGTAAGCGAGTGTTATTGTGATGCCATGGTGTTCTAAACTCTTGAGTGTGATTTTTCAAAGCAACAGAAACACTAGGTGGCGAAGAAAATTAATGGTTAATATGTCTGATTTGTTTTAGCTCGAGTAAGCGAGTGTTATTGTAATGCCATGGTGATGTAAACTCCCAAGTGCAATTTTTAAAGTAACAGAAACACTAGGTGACACGCCCGTGATTCTGTGAGTCAGACACCACGGCATTATGAAATCACTTGCGCACCAAGTGGAAATTTAACGGTTAATATGTTTTAGCTTGAGTAAGCGAATTTATTGTAATGCTGTGGTATTCTAAACTCCTAAGTGCGAGTTTTATCATGCAACAGAAACACTAGAAACACTAGGTGGTGGCACGCCCGTGATTCTTTGAGTTAGAGACCAAGCTGTTATGAAATCACTTGCGCAATAACTGGAAAATTAAGGGGTTTACAAGCTAATAAACGCTATATGTCTGTTTTAGAATCTTTTTTAATTGGTGATTTCCTTGTAGGAGACCCTCTGCTAGTTATATTTTTCGGCATTTATTAGTAAAAGATTTGTTTTTACGTTACAAATAAAACACGCGTAGCAAAATTCCCATTTCCGACACTTTTAGTACGTCCTGGAAACTGGAAAGCACAGTACGTATACTAACCGGTTATTTGGAAGAAGGCTTTTCTTTTTCTTTTTTATATTTATTTCGAAAAATACTGTTGCGATCCGTTCACTGGGAATCTCTGCTAATGCCGTTACGTTTTGAAAACAATATTTTTGTGGTGTCACGTTCTCCGAGTGTTTTGAAGTTGCTCTGTTTGAAAAGACATCTGTAATTGTTACAATAAAATCGATGATGTATTCACGGAGGTTCCGGTTATCTTTAAAGGAGACAAAAGCATAAATTTGATTGTGTTAATTGCTCTGTCGGAATAAAATGCCATATTAGTTAGCGAGATGGACACACGATGACGTGCGAGTAACACGTTCCGGGGATTTCTTATAGTTCCCGATCTACGTGTCAACACTTCCTTTGTTTTATATTGCACAATCGGTCAATTCAGATGACCGTCGTCCACGTTTCCAAGGTTTGCGGGCGGCGGCGTAGCGGCACCCATTTTCTTTTGACTGTTTATTACACATGTAGGAGGGGCAAATGGGGTGAACACGGGACCTATGAAACATTGGCTACCCTTCCTTAACAACACCAACCCCATTTAAATCCTCACTTATGTCCAGTATCGATCTTGTTAGCAAAAATTTGCTAGCAAATTGTTTTCGCAATTTTAGCAAAAAAGATTTAAAGAAAACTGCTATCAGAAAAGTATAGAAGAAATAGCAAATGTCGCAAAAGTAACAAGACTTTTTCTTGATATGTGAATAACAAATATGGCAAAAATAGCAGGCCGGGGAATAACAAATTTTTCAAAATTCTACTTCTACAAAGAGAAAACGCCAAGAAGGGCTTCGTGAAGTCCGCAAATTTCGAAAACATCGCAAAAGTAACGAGAATTTTCCTTGCTTACTGAAAAGATTGAGTAACAAATGTAGCAAAAATAACGAGAATAACAAATTTAACAAAATACTACACTTAGAAAGA